TTTAGGATTATAGAAGACTAAAGATAAGAAAAAAATCCTTAAAGCAATTGGAAGAAAACAGTATTATATACTTAATCATTATTGGTTTCTTTCTATATATATATATATATATTTTTTTTTTTTTTGTAAGACTTCTTTATTCAAGAGTTACAGATTTAGAAAGACAAAAAGAGGTCTTCCTCCTACTGGCTGACTTCCCAAATGGCTCCAACAGCTGCGCTGACCCAAACCCAAGGCAGGAGCTTCTTCTGGATCTCCCCCAAGGGTGGCATGGGCCCAAGCATTTGGGTTGTCTTCTACTGTTTTCTCAAGCAACGAGTAGGGAGATGGGCTGGAAATGCGGCAGCTGGGACCCTGCATCCACATGGGACACCAGGAAGAAGCTCCTGGCTCCCGGTTTTGGATCAGCTCCGCTCTACCCCTGGCTACTTGGGGAATGAGCCAGTAGATGGAAGACCTTTCTTGGTCTCTCTTTCTCTCTACAAATTTACCTTTCCAATAATAATAAATTTTAAAGAGAGAACGAGAGAGAGAGAGAAAATAAAGGACACCCTTGGGAGGCCTTATCTCCTATGACAGTGACTGACTGGCAATCCCAGCTCTGCTCCTGATTCTGAGAGAGCAACGACAGCTCAGGTGGCAAGAACGCGGGTGCCTCCCTAATCCTAGAAATTACGTGAACCAGAAGTGGGAGAATGGTTGCACAGACAACGGTGTATCCTCAGCACGGGATCACGGGCGGAGACTGGTGAGCTAGGAGCTGGGGCTATAGAGATCATGGTGGAAATCTAACATAAGGACCCAGACCTGGAACTCGCTGGAGGGAGTGGCACAAGTGACTGCACACAAAGAGACATGTACCAACCGCAGCAAGTAAAATCAAACTATAGACCTGTGGGTGACACAGCTTAGAAACCTGCCCCAAGGAGAAGACTCACCTAACCAGAAGCACAATGACCAAGAGCAAAAGAAAAGACAGAGGCACAATGGACATTACCGAAGACTGCCCTGCAAAGGAGCCAAGCCCTATGCCAACCTCTGAGTTAACTGAGGAAGACACTGAGAAAATGGGGAATACAGATTTCAAAACACTTGTTATAAAGCTTCTTACCAACAACGAGAAACACGTAATACAGGCATTCAAGGTGTTTAAACAACATGTCCCACGGGAAATGAATGAATTGAAAGCTAATATATCAGAAATGAAGAATACAGTGGAGCAAACTAAAAGTACAGTGAAGAATCTCCAAAAAAGAATGAAGCAGAAGAATCTCTGAATTGGAAGATATTTCTTTTTTTTAAAAAAAGATTTTATTTTTATTACAATGTAAGATATACAGAGAGGAGACACAGAGAGGAAGATCTTCCGTCCGATGGTTCACTCCCAAGTGAGCGCAATTGCAGAGCCAAGAGCCAGGAGCTAGGAACCTCCTCCAGGTTTCACACACGGTTACAGGGTCCCAAGGCGTTGGGCCGTCCTCGACTGCTTTCCCAGGCCACAAGCAGGGAGCTGGGTGGGAAGTGGAGCTGCCGGGATTAGAACCGATGTTCATATGGGATGCTGGCACATTCAAGATAGGACTTTAGCCGCTAAGCCATCACACTGCCCCTCTTTTTGTTTAAAGATTTCTTTTTATTGGAAAGATGGATATTAAAAGAGGAGGAGTGACAGAGAAGATCTTCCGTCCAATGATTCACTCCCCAAGCGGCCACAATGGCCTGAGCTGAGCCAATCCGAAGCCAGAAGCCAGGAGCTCTTCCAGGTCTCCTATGTGAGTGCAGGGTCCCAAGGCTTTAGCCTGTCCTTGACTGCTTTCCTAGGCCACAAGCAGGGAGCTAGATGGGAAGTGGGGCCGCCAGGATTAGAACCAGCACCTATATGGGATCCCGGTGCGTACAAGGCGAGGACTTTAACCACTATGCTATCACGATGGGCAGAAGATAATTCCTGTCACCAGGGGGAAAAAAACAAAAAGCTGGAAGCAGAGCTGGATCAGACCCAAAAAAAGTATTCAAGAATTGAAAGACGCTATTAAAAGGGAAATATAAGAGTTATGGGAGTCACAGAAGGTGCAAAAGGAGAAACTGGATTTAAAAATGTATTCAATGAAATACTAAGGGAAAATTTCCCTAATCCACCAATTGGGAAACAAGATCCAGGAGGGACACAGAACTCCCAACAGGCTTGATCAAACGCGATCTTCACCATGACACATGATCATCAAGCTCTCTTCAATTGAACATAAGGAAAAGATCCTTCAATGTGCACGTGAAAAAAAAATCAACTGACATATAAAGGAATGCCAATTAAACTCACACGAGACCTCTCGCAGGAAACTCCACAGGCAAGAAGAGAATGGAGTGACATATTCCAGATTCTAAAAGCAAAAAACTGTCAGTCCAGGATAACGTACCCAGCAAAGTTTTTCTTTGTCTTTGAAAATGAAATAAAATTCTTCCACAGTAAAGAAAAGTTAAAAGAATTTGCCTCTTCCAAACTCACCCTACAAAGGATACTTAGATGTTCTCTTGGTAAAGAAAAAAAAATAGCACCCACCAAAACCAAAGGCAAATGTGAAAAACATCCCAGTAAAACAACAACAGAAGACTGAATGAATGAACAACCCATTGCTAAAATGACAGGACCAAAGTACCACCCATTCCTATTAACCCTGAAAGTAAATAGCTTAAGCTCAATCAAACGTCATAGATTAGTAGACTGGATTAAAAACACAAATCCCATCTATTTGTTGCCTACAGAAAACACATTTCACCAACAAAGATCAGTGGAAACTGTAACTCATGAATTTTGATGTTTTTGTTATTTTCATCTCTCCAAAACGCCTTTTCTTTCTTCAATGACTCATAGATCATACAGCAGCAACATTTTCTTCAAGAAGATTCTTGACTTTCTTTTACATTTCTTCAGCTACACATTAGTCATTCAGTATCATGCTATTTAACTTCATGGTGTTAATTACTTTTTTCTTCCTGTTGTTGATTTTGTTTTGTGGATTTTCTTTTAAGGGGATGTATAGTAGCTGTGTAATGGAGACTGTCATATCTAGTAACATGTTATTTAACTTCTTGGCATTGTAAATTTCTATTTTTCCTCCTGTTGATTTTGTATTGTGACTTTCTCATTTTTAAGAGGATGTACAGTAACTGTGTAATGGAGACTAACATATCCAGATGTGAGGATACAATGCAGTATGCATCTCTACTTCCAGATCAAAGATGGACTCTCGAAGAAACTGTTTACTATATCTTGACAATAGGATGTTGGACCCTCTGCCATTGTCCATGGCCACAATGATGGACATATGACTGTGTATGAAGAAGTATACTTTAGTAATGATATGAGAACTCGGGGGTGGGGGGATTGGGGAGCGGAAAAGGGAAATCTCAGGAAGCTATGCAACTGTATTTTAAAATGATAATAAATATAAATAAATAAATAAACAAAAGATTAGAATACAAAAAATTTACATATCAAAGGGTACTATCAGCAGAGTGCTGGCAACCCACAGACTAGGAGTGGGGCCAGCGGCTGTTGCTTCCTGCAGTGTCAGCATCCCCAGTGAGAACTGTTGAGTTCCAGCAGCTCTGCTTCTGATTCAGCTCCCTGGTAATGCATAGCAAAGCAGCAGAGATGTATTCTGATATCTATGCAGGAGACTGGGATGCAGCTCCTGGCTTCCAGCTTCAGCGAGGCCTAGCCCCTGCGTTGGTAGCCATCTGTGGATGAGTTAATGAATGGAGATCTCTTCCTCTCTCTGAGATGGCCTTCCAAATAAATACTCTTAAGGGGGGATAAAAAAAAGAATAAAAGAAAGTTGTGAACCGTTTATTTGATAAAGGATTAACATGAGGAAAACACACAAAAACATTTCCTAAAACTCAACAATAAAAAAACAAACATTCCCATTCAAAAATGGGCAAAGGAGTTGAAAGACACTTCTCCAAAGGAAACATACAAATAGTTACCATGCCCTTGAAAAGTTGCTCAGCAGTACTTACTGGGGAAGTGCAAAGTTCAACCACAGTAAGACGCCACTGCAGACTCATCAGCTGACTATTACCGAAACCACAGGAAATAATAAGAAACCGACAAGGCTATGGAGATGGACACCAAGTCACTAGGAAAAACAGTAGGATGTTTTCTCAAGAGATGAAAAACCGAACTAGTGGAATGACCCACTGATCCGATCTCTACGGATCCCAAAGAACTGAGAGCAAAGTGTCAGACATGACCGGGCCTCGTGTGCACAGGGGCGTTATTCGCAACAGCCAAACAGCAGAAGCAGCTCAAGTATGTGCTAACAAAGCGTGAGATAATTCCACCATAAAAAGGAAGGAAATTCTCACAGAGGCAACAACGTGGCTGACCCCTGAAGATATGCTAAGTGGAACTAGTCAAACGCCAGAAGCCAAAATGCTGCAGGATTCTTCCTACATGAAGAACTTAGGAGAGTCCAACTAAAGAGACAGAAAGCAGAAGGTGGCTGCCACACACTGGGAGCAGAGAACGTATGGTTACCGAGGAATGGGTACAGTTCCGGTTCTGTAAGCTGGAAAGTGTTCTGTGGCGGCGGCAGCGATGACTACAATGCGAATGGACCTGCTGCCACTGAGTCATGCAAACACAAACGTCCATGATCGGAAGAAGCATATGAACTGGTGGATCTATTTTCACACAATGTAGTCAGAATACTTTGAGGGGAAGATGGGGTACATTGCATGAATTGAAATTCCAAGATTAGATAGTCAAAATGAAAACAACAACAACAAAATAAAAACCACAAAAGACTCCATTATATTCTATTTCTGGTTCTAGAAGGTTCCTTATGCTATTTAATCTATCATATCATTACCAACATTAAGAGGTACTGCATTCTAATTATAAAGAACAAGAGCCAACAAAATATAAATGCACAGTTACTGAGCTATCATTGACATAATGTGTCACTTTTGTCCTACTTGAGATAATTTTGACTTACTTTGTCAATTTGTGGCTTTTCATTGCTGTGAGAAATTCTCTGATAATCTCAGGACTCTGGTGCCGACATGGTGTTTTTGATATGTACTTCAACGTCTATACACACACAAAAACGAAAAAGAGGGAAACATGAGATAAAAAAAAAGTCATAAGTCACGAGTCCAAAGGGATATACACATTTGACTAATTAAAATGAGGGCCCCACATGGTAGCCTAGTGCCTCAAGTCCTCACTTTGCATGCGCCAGAATCCCATATGAGCGCCGGTTCATATTCCAGTTGTTCCACTTCCCATCCAGATCCCTGCTTATCGCCTGGAAAAGCAGCAGAGGACAGCCCAAAGCCTTAGGACCCTGCGCCCACATAGGAGACCTGGAAGAGGATCCTGGCTCCTGACTTTGGATCAGCTTAGCTCTGGCTGTTGCAGCCACCTGGGGAGTGAACGAGCAAATAGAAGATCTTCCTCTGTCTCTCCTCCTCTCTGTAGATCTGATTTTCCAATAAAAAAAAAATAAAATATGAAAATAAATCTTTTTTTAAAAATATGTACTTATTTTTATTGAAAAGACAGATTTACAGAGGCAAGGAGATACAGAAAGATCTTTCGTCTGCTGGTTCATAACCAAGTGGCTGCAATGGCCAGAGCTGAGCCGATCCAAAGCCAGAAGCCTGGATCCCAGAGACTCTTCCAGGTTTCCCACATGGGTACAGGGTCCCAGGGCTTTGAGCTGTCCTCAACTGCTTTCCCAGGCCACAAGCAGGGAGCTGGATGGGAAGTTGGAGAGGCTGGATTAGAACTGCATGTGCAAAGTGAGGACTTTAACCGCTAGATTACTGCACCAGGCCCAAAATAATTAAATCTTAATTTTAAAAATGGATGAGAAGTGACAAAGAAGAAATGAGGAAAATGAAAAAAGAAATGAGGAAAATGCTCAAAAACCAATCAGCACTAGGTGTTTGGCCAAGGCTTAGACATCTGTTACCCTGCATCTCTCCTCTGCTCCCCAATCCAGCTTCTTGCTAACGTACACCCTGGGAGGCAGCAGGCGAAGGTTCAAGTAGTTGGGTCCTTGTCATCCAAGTGGGAAACCAGGACTGAGTTCCTTGCTCCTAGCTTCAGTCTGGGTCAAGTCATTGTAATGTAATCATTAATCATAATGATGTATAATCATAATCTTAATGTAATGTAAGCCAATGTAGTCATACGGATGTGAACCGGAAGATAACAGATCTGACTTTCTTTGCCTCTCCAATGGATGAGTAAATAAAGTATTTAAAATTACCATCAGGTAGTAGGTTAAGCTGCAGCTTACAACGGCTTACATTCCGTATGAGCATAGGTCCAAGTCCCAGCTGCTCCACTTCCAATCCAACTCCCTGCCAATGTACCCAAGGAAGCAGAAGACGCCCTAGCTACTCAGGCCACAGTCACCCATCAGGAGCTGGGATGAAGCTTCAGACTCGTGGCTTTTGTCTGTCTAGTTATGGCCACTGTGGCCATTTGGGGAGTAAACTAGTAAATGAAAGATCTCTTTCTTTCTCCATCTCTCCTACTCTTTAGGTCGCTCTGCCTTCTTCAAGTAAATCTTAACAAACGAACGACGCCTCTATCCTTTCCCCGTGATGCACAATAATCATGAAGACAACAGCTTTCAGTGAAACACGTGAGTTCTATACAACTACAGACTCTAAGAGTGGTTCAGAATGGAGATTCCCAAATATGTTAAAAAAAAAGAGGGCATTCAGAGACGATTCCTTCTAATTCTGTGGTTGTTAACTCTTGCATTAGGCCAAACCGCCCCCAGTTTTATAAAGACAAAAAACACTGGGTAACACTCTTCCAGTGAGGTGACAGGTGACCTTGTTTGGACAGCCATTTCTCAGCAGAGAAGAGGAAGCCAGTGGCCCCCGTGTTCTCTAAGGAGAGCTCCAGAGCCCGGGCTTACCTCATAGGTGATCGTATTCAAGTTCTGCTGCCCAGAACTAAATTTATTCTTCCCACTTTGTTTGCGCTGCTCTTTCAGATCAGTTAGTAGCTGGAATACCTAGGAAGACAAATAGAAAAGGCTTTATAAATACATTTGAGAAACATACCTAAAGTCAATGGTATTAGAAGACAATTTAGGAGGTTTAAGACCTCTTTCTTTCCACAAACCCACCTCTCAATGCTTGGAGTAAATATGAATCCCAGAAGCATGTGATTTTTAAAAATACTCTTATCTAACTTGAATAACTCAAATCTATTATTTTACTTGAAATATACCAAATGTTTCCTATCAAAAATACACTGGATTTCAGAGCAAATTTTGCTAAAATAAACACATATTTGAAAAAAGGATATGTTCCTCTAACACAAAAATATTATTTCTCGAAAAGAAAAATTACGATGCCAAGTGACAAAAAACGAAGTTTTCATAGAGAAAAAAAAAGTTACATTTTCTCAATAAAAGAAAAATATTTATACATGAATGGTACGGTGGAGGGATGTCTTCAGTTTCAAGGTTCTGCCAGAGAACAAAGCAAAACACAGGTTCACACTACAACGAGACACAATGGAAGCCCCATCGCTGCCTGCTGTTCTCTCACAAATACACGAAACTCAATGAATGCAAGGTTTCCTCAAAAGATAAAAGAGCAAATATCTGGAAAAGTCCAAAAGAGATAGGGGATCCTAACAGAGGTTCCAAGGGCTGGATCAACAAACATGTCTTTCCCAGTATAAGAAGCAACCACTTAAAATGAACCAACAGAAACAATATAGTCCACTATGTTTATTCTACTACCTTCCTTAGAAGGCAAACAATGAAGACTCAGACCTCTTTTCTGAGTGCAGACCCTGGTATATGGCAAACAGGGAGTGCATGCACAGAACTTTTGATACCTAAAATTACTCTATCGGATGCTAGTACCAAATAAATAAACACTCCGTGAAATAGGTAAGCCAGGGGGCCAGCACCACAGCAAAAGAGTCTGTGGTACAAGTATCACATATTGGCACAAATTCAAGTCCCAGCAGCTCCACTTCTGACCCAGATACCTGATGATGACCTGGAAAGGCAGCAGAGGTTGGCACCCATAGGAAAAACTCAAAACAAACTCCTGGTTTCGGAATGGTCCAGCTACAGCCAACTGTAGCTATTTGGGGAGTGAACCACTGGATGGAAGGACTCTTTCTGTCTCACGTTTTTTATTTGTAACTGTGCCCCACTCCCCCAAAAAAAAGCAGGCAAGGGCCTAGCATGATAGCCTAGTGGCTAAATCCTTGACTTGCATCTACTGGGATCCCATATGGGCATGGGCACCAGTTCAAGTCCCGACTGCTTGTGGCCTGGGAAAGCAGTCGAGGATGGCCCAAAAGCCTTGGGACCCTGCACCTGCATGGGAGAACCAGAAGTAGCTCCTGGCTTCGGATGGGCTCATCTCTGGCTGCTGTGGCCACTTGGGGAGTGAACCAGAAGATGAGAAATCTTTCCCTCACTCTCTACTCCTCTCTATAAATCTGCCCTTCAATAAAAATAAAGAAATAAATAAATCTTAAAAAAAGCACAAGTAGACAAAGGCACTCTCAATGTCTCATTAATGTTTCTTCTCTCATGAACCTCGTTCCTCTTTCCCTGGCAACTCTACACTGCACTCCCGAGTTACAAGTCTTAATGCCTGCTGAACCACTTATGACGGTGAGTCAACTAAACCTCTACTTTCAAAACAGGGACGTTAACATCTGAGACCAAAGATCAAAATGACAATGTAGAAAAGCATTTTATAGATAACGGCAGGCAGAAAGAAATAAGCATCTTACTAGAAATCATCTGCAGACAGAAATGGTTCAAGGCACACGTTTCCTTCCCAAGAAGACATCCCCAGTGTTTATCTAGAACTTGGGAACGCAGCGAAGGTTATCAGTGCAGCTTCCCCACTGCCCAGGATGCACTATGTGTAACTGACCAAGCACAGAATTCTTCAAGGTTCAACAGATGGTCCCATCTGTCATGTTTGTGTTCTTATTGTTTTTAAAGATTTGTTTTTTGTTGAAAAGTCATATTTACAGAGAGAAGAGGAGACAGAGAAAAAAGTCTTCCATCTGCTAGTTCACGCCCCAAGTGGCTGCTAACTGAAGCCAGGAACCAGGAGCTTCCTCTGGGTCTCCCATGTGGATGCAGGGTCCCAAGGCCTTGGGCCATCCTCTACTGCTTTCCCAGGCCACAAGCAGGGAGCTGGAAGGGAAATGGAGCTGCCGGGATTAGAACCACCACCCATATGGGATCCCAGCACATGAAAGGCGAGGACTTGAGCCATTAGCCCATCATGCCAGGTCCCCATCTGTCATGTTTTAAAGGTGAAACATACAGGTGGATTCAGTCACTTCTAATCAAATTGAACAATGAAGGGCAACTTTTCTGAGGGAACCACCACGCGCTTCAGAGCTACTTACCTCGTAATTACTGAGCAGGGCAGCGTTGGCGTCCTTTCTGCAAGAGAGAAAGCGGCGACCGTCAGTCCAGGCATACAGCATTTCTGACACTAAACATCCACAACCTAACTCCTCTGCCAAGACCCACTAGCTCAGCTCAGGATTTCAGAGATTATACCCTAAAACTGAGAAATATCCTAAATACTACATGGTCGAGCAGCTTGCAGATAGTATCAGATTTCCTTTTTTTTTATAAGTGTAACCTATCACCTACCCATCACCAGGCAGGTAATTAAGCACATGCATTCCAAGTCTACACGGGCAGAAGTTAGGCGTTCTGGGAGGAAGAACAAAGGGTACAGGGGCCAATAAACCAGAGCGGAGCCAGAAATAACTGGAGAAGCCAAGTGCTGCCGCATCCTGAACCCATATCCTCTTCCCATCCCACCAGACCACATTAGCTGCTGACAGATCAACAGGCTCCTGCTCGTGTGCTCAAGCAGTGGTTGACAGCCTAGTACCCCTGTGTAACAGCTGTCCAGACAACATCACTGTGTGTAGGCACGCATATAAGCACAGCCATGTAATTCAATATTCAGCTCTCACTGATCTGTTTCACGTCGCACCCCAAAGTATTGTTTTAGCAGTCTAGAGGGAATATAGTTTGACAAGAGTTATGAAATCAGACAAATTTGGGTTCATATTCTAGTTCTACCTCTTACAAGGGGCACTGAGCTACAACAAAGACGTGTTACAGTGGCTACAACAAAGATGGAGGTAAACCACAATCCAGAAGCACAGCATGGATTCTAAAGTCAGATCCACTAGAAATTGGCAGGATAGATATGAACTGTGTGGATATGCTTAAATTTCCTCATCTATAAATGGCAATTATGGCGTACTCTTGTAAGACTGTTCATAGGACAACACGTGTGAAGAGCCCGAGACACAGCAAGTGTTCTGTGATTGCCATCACCATTACTACTTGTGCTACCACGTCATCACAAACTCCTCCTGCCTCATTAAACTATTATGATGAAATGAGACAACCAATCTTAAATTCAGCACAGTTCTAGGTGCTTAGTAGGATTTCCAATAGTGGGGATTATTATTTTTTTAAGACATAATCCCACTTAATTCTTACCAAAATCTTACGAGCAACTATCAGTGTGGTTCCTACTTTACAGATGATAAAACTCAAGCTTCGTAACCTTCTGAGGGTTACACAGTAAGACACCTAACCGAGGTGTATTAATAATTACAGAATTGTGGAAAATGAGACTGGACTGGATGAATGAAAGCCAGTCATTAGAAACCTAAAAATTCAGGTTGAATGCATTTGATAAAATGTGCATATTTAAAACCAGAAATGGGCTAAAATGATGAAAATCATGGCATATAATTTCAAACACAGGGGGCCAACTTGAAAGGTAATTTTCCCAGCCAATAAATACAGCAAATTTAGCAGATGGGTCAAACAGGATGGATCTAAACCTCATGTCAGTGTACTGTGATGCCAACCATGACAACCAAATCGCCATATAAAGCTTACCAAACTCCACCAGTGACTCAACAACTATGATTTCACTGTTCTATGCTACCCAAATGATCACCACTGTGTTGAGATCACAAAGAACACAGTATTAAAACAAAACAAAACAAAAAAACAGGTATGGGGGCCCAGCCTGATAGCCTTGTGACTAAATCCTTGCCTTGCATCCCATATGGTTCACATAGTGCTAGTTCATATCCTGGCTGCTCCACTTCCCATCCAGCTCCTTGTCTGTGGCCTGGAAAGGCAGAAGATGATGTCCCAAGGCCTTGGGACCCTGCACCCATGTGGGAGACCCAGAAGAAGCTCTTGGCTCCTGGCTTTTGATCAGCTCAGCTCTGGCCGTTGCGGCCACTTGGGGAGTGAACCAGTGGACGGAAGACCTTTCTCTGGCTACTTCTATCTGTATATCTGCCTTTCTAATTAAACACACACACACACACACACACACACACACCTTGGTGTGAATATTTGGTCTAGTAGTTAAGATGTTTGCATCCAATATCTGAGGCCCTGGACTCAAATGTCTAGCTCTGGATTCCAGCTTCCTGCTAACGCAAAATGGAGGAGGCAGTAGTTACAGCAGAAGGACTTGGGTTTCCAGTCACCTGGATGGAGGCCCTGCACCGAGTTCTCGGCTGCTTTTGGGAAGTGAGCCAGAGGGGCAGCTAACTCTCATTTTCTCTCTGCCTCTCCAATTAGAATAATAAAAGTTATTTAACAAACGAAGTACCATGCACAATGAGTGTATGTGACAGTTTATCTGAAATTGAAAATGACATATCCGACCACATGCCATCTTTGTCCACTTAATCAGGAAGTCAACCTACAAGGCTTCCTTCTTTATTTGTTCGAAATTGAGTTACACTTCACTGTGCTCTCCAAAACACAGGCATTGAAACATCCCTTCCTGGAACAGCTCACTGGGGGGAAAAAAAAAAATCACATTATTTTGCTTCAGGGCTGATGGAACCATTCCAAGTGCCACCGTTATAACCACATTCCTAAACCACGGCACCTCCCTCCGTCATGGAGAATGTTTCATTTAAAAGAAAGGTGTCTTTGGCCCTTCCAAGTTACTACCCAACTACTTGAGTCAATCTTCCTAGTGCTAAGAATCTGAAGAGCGTCATCTTCTTTTCTAGAATCAACATTAACCAAGGAGGGAAAATCCTTCATATTTAGTCAAATGAACCTGTGTTTAAGAACCGGGGGAACAACGAATATTTACACTGTATCTTGCAGACTCTGGCTGAGAAAAGCTCATTTACTCGCTGTTACCACCATTTGAAGAGTGAACCAGTGGATGGAGGATAACCCTCACACTCTCTCTCCTCCCTTCCTCTCTATCTCTTTAGCTCTTTCAGGCAAAATTAAGCCCTTTTTTAAAAAAAGAAATTTGGGGCCTGGAGTGATAGCCTAACGGTTAAATTCTTGCCTTCCACATGCCACAATCCCATATGGGCACCACCAGTTCATATCCTGGCTGCTCCACTTCCTATCCAGCTTCCTGCTGGTGTCCTGGGAGAGCAGTACATGAAGGCCCAAAGCCTTGGGACCCTGCACCCACGTGGGAGACCTGGGAGAAGATTCTGGCTTCTGGCTTTGGATCAGCACAGCTCTGGCCCACCGCAGCCACCTTGGGAGTGAGCCGGCAGAGGAGGATCTTTCTCTCTGTGTCTCCTTCTCTCTGTATATCTGCCTTTCCAATTAAAAAAAAAAAAAATTTAAATGAATCTTTTATAAAGGGATTTGAAAAACTTTTCCTCAGTTGACTGAAGTTGACTTGCTATTTGAAATTTAACCTGTTAACATCTGCTTAACTTGTGGAGATAAACTGATCAAAACAAACTCTGGGAAACTGGATTCTGAATAAACAGAACAAGAGGATCTATTGACTTTCCTTAAAAGCACACAAACGAACACAAAGAGCTCACACACAGTGGCTGTTACCAACGCAATGACGAGCAGAATTGCTCAAATTCTGCCTGTTCAATTTGTGCTATTGACTCAAGTCATGTTTTTGGTACAGAACAACCTGAGAGTTGACGCAATCAACAATTTAAACTGTGGCAGTTTTTTTTTTTTTAAAGATTTGAAAGGCAGATGTACAGAGAGAAACAGGAGATCTTCCGAAGCCAGGAGCCAGGAGCTTCTTCGGGGTCTCCCATGTGACTGCAGGGGTCTCAGCCCTTGAGTCTTCCTCTGCTGCTTTTCTGGGCTATAGCAGAGTGCTGGATAGGAAATGCAGCACCTGAGAATCCTAGCAGGGCTCATATGGAATGCCAATGCCACAAGCTGAGGAATACCTTGCTATGCTACCACACTGGACCCAGTGGAATTCTCTTGTTGTTTAGTAAACACCCGTATTGTCTCTGGTCCCAGTACTGAACTATTACATTACCCACTGTTCTCAATCTCAGAGTGTCCATCTGTAAAATCAAAGAGCTCCTGGGGCCTACAACTTGTGCTGTAGCTTAGGCTCCTCCTGTGGCGCCTGCAAGCTATATGCATTATGTACAGGCCACTCCGCTTCAGATTCCCTTTCAGCTAATCGCCTGAAGAAAAATACACAAGATGGTATGAGTTTCTGGGCTGCTGCAACTATGCAGAAGCCCCAAGGGAATCTACTGGCTCCCATCCACCCAGCTCCATTTGTTTTTGCTATACGGACAGTGAAGAACAGATGGGAGATTTTTGTCTCTCTGTAACTACCTTTCTAATAGAAACAAAACATACAATTAAAGGGTTTGGGCCATAGGGTCGGGGCAAAAGCAGCTCCCTGCAGTGTGGTGGCTGTGGGGTGTGCCCCAGCCAGGCCAGGCCCAATGCTGGGGACTCAGGCCAAAGTCACTGCCGCCAGGCAGTGACAGAGCCCTAGGCTTTTTCCAGGCCAGCGTACCAAGTGGTGCCAGGCTCTGCCTACTGGCCTCCCACTGGCAGCTCTGGGGTTTTTAGAATCTGTAATTGTTCCTAAGGACATACATGCATAAGGACAGTGTGAGTGTAGATGAGAGATGAATTCTGGTTGATTACCAGCAACGGGGTCACGGAACTTTCTGGCAAGCCTGGGGACTGAGATCTGAGGGTTTGGAGGGTAGAGTCCATAAGATCTATTTAGGTCAGACTGATTCACCAAACCACATGGGAATCCTGAGATGGGCTGTTAGCATGGAGCATCACTGACTGCCACACACCAGTTCACACCAAAGCTATGGCTGGGGGCCTGTCTGGCAGGGCTAGGTACCAGTACCAGTACTAGTACCTGATTGGGTGGTAGAAAAGTGGACTGGTCGCACTTGGCAGGGTCAAGACACTAACCAACATGCGAGAGAACCAGATCCAGGGGTAGATTCTGTGGGGGAAGTGTGGGCCCAACCCTGTGGAAATACAGTCCTGCTGATTAGCTCACAAGCTGGGGTGGTGGTGATGGGCTGAGCTAGGTGTGACCATGGAACCTGCCAACACTTCTGGGTAAAGAAACCAACAGTCTGGGCAGGTCAAGG